ATGAGCAATATCATTAACCTTTGCAATTTAAACCCTGGGACACACTAAAGAGATGGAGGCAGTGACCCTGCAGCATTATGTCGCCATCAGGGTCCCAAGTGCACAAATATGCTGAAATATGGCCCCATCACTGACTCATGTGTATATAACACAAAGGAATGACTCCCTGGAGAAATATAGATTTAATTTACTTCACACTTGAGCAGATCTGATTTGAAACAAAGAAGATACTTTGCAATATAAATCAGAGTTCATATACACAGGCTGATCTCCATATGAAAATCATATTATGTTGTGCTGTGAAGATTTTTTTATGTTGGAGGGGTCCTGCCTGATTAATAAGGGCTTGTAAAAGTGTTGCAATGAGCTGATGGTATATCAGAGTTGAACGGGCCGTGACTTTGAGGATGCCCTCAATTTCATGCTGTCCAATTTGATTTCTTTATACAGACATCTTCAAACTCGAGCAGCATGGACTGATAAAGACTGTCCACACAAGGCAGATTCACGTGTCAGGTTTTAGAACTGATATTGAAGGAAATTGAAAATGACTTTAAATGACAGAACATCCAATCCATACATGTGTACATATTCTGATGTTTCACTTTGTCATTAAAAACAGAAACCCATACCAATATGCACTATTTCCAGCCAGGACACTCATAAGAGACTAAAACAGTAAACATTAAAATAAAAATATGATGAAAAACTAAAACTAAATTCAACCTCCAAACAATGTTATTCAACCCTAAACAGAAGAAAACAGTTGGCAAATTATTAATCATTACAAAAAATAAAAGAAAAACACAATTATTTTTAAATATCGCCTCTAGGATCATGTCCTAGAAATAAAAAACAGAGAATATGTAAACAGTGTGACACAAATTAAATAGAGGATGAGACACACTTCCTTCTGTTCTGCCCCAAATACACCACAACTAGAGAAATATTTTCCCCCCAATTTGAAACATTAATTCATTCATTTTTATTTTATTTAAATGACAAAGAAAAACTTTACCATTTACTCAGAGAGAGTGAATATATATCTAAACTATTTGTCTTATTTAAATAATCTAAACTTTTATTATCATTATTAGTATTAATATTATTGTAACTGTTAAAATTATCAAATGTATTATCTGCTTTTCTTTTTCTTTCTTTCTTTCTTTCTTTCTTTCTTTCTTTCTTTCTTTCTTTCTTTCTTTCTTTCTTTCTTTCTTTTGTCATTTGTTTCTTTTTTAATGTATATTTTATTAATTTGATGATGTTAATATATTACATATCTTATACATATTTAAAATGCTTTGGCAATTCTGTACTAAATATCAAGCCAATAATGCAATGCAACTTTAATCCATTAATATGAGGTTGCGGAATGAACCGCCAACTTATCCAGCATACTGTATGTTTTACGCAGCAAATGCCCTTCCAGCTTCAACCCATCACTGGGAAATATTCATACACACTCATTCACACACATACACTACGGACAATTTTAGCTTCGCCAATTCACCTATAGCGCATGTCTTTGGACTTGTAGGGGAAACCGGAGCACCCAGAGGAACCCACCTGAAAACAGGAAGAACAAGCAAACTTGACACAGAAAAGCTAACTGACCCAGCCAAGGCTCGAACCAGCGACATTTTTGCTGAGGCGAACGTGCCACCTACTGCACCACTGTGCAGCCCACGGTGGCAGGTAAACCTAAAAATTCTGAAATCATTATTCTTTCTCCTTCAGCTTAGTATAAGTTTATCAGGAGTCACCACAACAGACCGGACAGTCCTTTTAATCTTTTATTTAGACTTTATTTTTGCAAAATATTTATTACAAATTGCATTTCAGACTTTTAAAATCCATAGTGTGTTTACCATGAAGTATTTATAAGGACTACCAGGTAGGGTTGTAACAATATACCGGTATGACGGTTTACTACGATTTGAACGTGCACGATTATCATACCATGAACAATTGCATATCAACGGTTTTAACCCTTAAAGACCGAGACAGCCGCCCGCGGCTAAAAATAAGTATTGCTCTTAAATGTTTAATAACTTTTGATCCGCTGATCTGATTCATACAATTCAAAGATTGGCATAAAGAAGAGAATCTCAGCTTTCCAGTGCTGCATCACATAACATTCGCGGACTTTCAGAGGCTTCGGAATCAGTGCGGTTACGTCATCAAAATTTGACAACGCTGATTTGACAAAGAAACGCTCGTCACTGTGTCTCCGGACAAACCAGACATGATACATTGATGCATTGTCCCTCCTCCATGCCCAGATTGGTTCAAACTCGCTATATCACAACCAATAAGCATAGGTTTCACTTTTGTTTGTGGACCAACACTGAGCTTTTTGAACAACACGGAATGAGAGATAGGCATACATTTCTGCGCGGCTAAATAAAACGCAAAAAAAAAAAGTTTTGCATGAAATAATTCTCATACTAAGTACTTTTGCATGCACAGCAGCACAGAAACATGACAAAACAGTGACACAGCAAAGACGAACTGCTGCTCTTGCTGTTTTCAAAAGACACAAATGAAGGTGCAGCTGTTTGTCGGCATTGCATACAACCACATCCAAATCCATATCCACAGACAACCATATCCATGGTGGCACATAAAACCTAAGGATGTTCCATATTGAATCTAGTTTCGTTATGTAACTATTTATAGTATAGTAAATATTTATATCTATTTTTTTACTGAGGATTTGCACCATGTTTATTTGGACTTTGACACATTATTTATTATTTTTTTATTTGTTCATTGTACAAGTGGACACATTCTCTCACCTCAGCGGTCAAGATTAAGTCCTGAAAATCTCAACATGCTTACATTTCTTCATCACAACCTAGACTGAAAAAAACAACGCTTTAAATACATGTTTACAGCCATAAACTTGGTATTGCACTTTTGGTCTCCCATTTATCCTGCTTATAAGGAAGGACAGTTTAAGTTTATTTTTGTCTAATCTTAAAAGACCCTGCTTGTTTATTCCTTCTAATTTAATTTATTAAAATGGGAGATTTTTCCGTTTATTTTTATAAAAGACTTCTATAGTTCTATTAAAATGGTTCTTTCAAAAGTTTGTTGAAATAAAACCTTTGTTCAGTCAGAAAACGTGTTCTTATTCTTTTCAGGGTCTTTGCTATGAGAATTACTATTTAATACCGTATACCGTGAAACCGTCAAACCGTGGTATTGTTTTAGACGATTATCATACCGTAAAAAATTCATACCGTTACAACCCTACTACCAGGTATGTCATTTTGATGTTTTTGAAGTCTCTTATGTTCTTAAGTGCTGCATTTATGGGATAATATTACAATGAAATTAAGTTTAGTTGCAATTTTAAATTAACTTTATTTGAATTTTATGTATTTTATTCCTGTAATGATAAATTGGAAACGTCAGCATTGATTGGTACTTCAGTGTGAATGATCCTTAAACTCATTTTAAAATGGATTAATGCTCAAGAAGAAACTTCTTCTCATTATCAATGCTGAAAACATTTTTGCTTATTATTTGTTGAAGACCATACGGCATTTGTTTATTAAACTGAGATGATGATAAAATTCAAAGGAAAAAAAAAAAAATTATATGAATATAACCTCTCTTAAAACATTATAAATGTCATTATTGCTATTTGATTTAATAGATGACAGCAGAATAGTATATTAATTGCCATAAACACTAAATATTTCAAACATTTGAAAAATAAAATGGCATCAGCGACATACTACAATAATTTAAAAGTATTTGTATAGACAAATATAGTAACTAGTCAGAATCTCAGCACTGTGATTAGAAAACTGGAAAATTTTTAGATTTTACACATAAAGATATAAAAAAATAACAAAAACATTGAAAAATTAAATAAGCAGTGATTACTTATAGACTGCTAGCTCTATTAATCATCCTGCAGTACACTGAGGATAAGGGTTAAAAAGCCTCCAATGACAGAATTAGTTGCGGTTCTGCCTGCGGGTTTGGAGCGGGCACATGTAAACAGCAGGTAAGAGGTGTAGCGTGGCATGAAAGCTCCACACCTTCCTGCTGTATTTGGCCAGTGGCTTGGAACGATGGCACAGGTTTTTATCATTGTAAACCAAGTACAGAAGCTCAGCTCGACCTGCCAACTTCAACAAGCCAGACGGGTCCAATGACAGCAGCCCCTATCAACACTGATGCAACACACTTAATCACCTTATTACTGCAGCCTGGGCTACATGGGATGTGGAGGTGTGTGCCCTATGCAGGCGTTCACACGGATGTCTACTGCTCAGGTGAGGTACTGAAGTCTGAAGGGTTGGCTTGGAAGATACTTTATAGTAAAGGGGTTGAGTTTGGGGTCAAAGGATAAATTCATAATACATTTTCTAAGTACAGTACATATAAGCATGCTACCTCTTGTATGTTACAACTTATTTTACTAAGAAAATTAGCATAGTGATTGTGTATTAAAATTATTGATTTAAATACTGTAGAATGTTAGAAGCCAAATATTCAGCTTAATGTGATGTAAGAACTATCAGGATGAATGTAAATTTTCACTGTTGTTTATAGTACATATTAATGCTATTATTAAAATTATTCATCCGAACAATACATGGGCTGGGTTAATCAATATTATTATTGTAATCATAACTAAATAAATATAATGTTTTTATGCTGTAACATGTCTATGCTTTATGTGCCATATTAAGGCCCACAAAGAATCTGTGCAAGCACAAATCGTTTAGTCTATGTATTTACATTCTTAAATGTGTATACATTGTGTTTACAATATATTAGGCAGTATATATTACTATGTATTAAGTTTTCAGCTCCTATACTCTCAAAGTCAATTAGCATATTTTTAAACAAAATCCATGCAGAAATAGCCAAACAAACTAGTCTGCAGATTCTGTCTGGCCCTTTGATAATTGCAATACAGAAACCTGACGGATGAGTTTAGTTGCACTTGACCTGTGAGGATTGTGTCCATTCACCTGATACTGTTGGTAGTTGTACAGGTTGCTGTAGTAGGAGGAGTATGGAGTGGGCTGGTAAAGGTTGTAATAGGAGGCGTCCACCATTAGGTCAGATGTGCAGTCAGTGTGCCCTCTGCTGGACATTGCAGGACTTAAAGACAACATGGAGCGACTGCCTGAAACATCACAAGAGGTCACACAAATCAGCTGTGTGTCTGTTCTCTGAAAATATAATCAGCTTAGTCTCTAGCCATTGAATTGTAAAGACAAAGTTAAACTGTACAAAACCAGAAAGTACACGTGATATATTATAACACAGTTCAGTTTTCGGTCCTGTGACTGGAGCAGACACCTGAAGTGCAAAACATCTTTAGAACTGCAGTACAGATCTGTCAGGTTAATATCTGATTCAAGCCAAAACTAGTTTAAATTAGAAAAAAAAAAATTTTGCTGAAAAACCATAAAATATTCAATTTACTGCCCAACTTAAAAATGGCTACATACTTATTATATAATACATTGAACCTTATTAAGCATTTTTAGCACATTATCTTCTGGGACAACCTGTTGACCAGTATATATTTAGAATAATCTGTGAGGTATTTAGTTAATTTGGTCTTTTAATATCATTGTACTTCATAAGAACAAACCTAGAAAAAATATATAAAAATTAATTTTGTTCTTTAGGTTGATGTTCACATGAATGCAAGGGATACATGGAATTATAAATGTTATAAATTATAACAATTACAAATCATTAAATGAGGGTTTTAAATGTCAAAATAATAAACGTAATACACAGTTTTCATTATTTCCACTGATTATTAGTATTTTAAATCATTTTGTATCATCTTTGGTCAATATTTGCACATAATCTTCAATCTTTATATCACAATTTTCAAATTATTATTTTGAATAATAGCCAATTTAAATAATCTATAGCAACAATAATGCAAAATATGAAGAGGGATGTCAAGCTTTTTAATACATAAAATAACTCATATTGAATTTAATGTGAAAACCAAAATGAAATATATGGGCAATTCCACGCAAATGTCAACCTTGCCATAAAAAATTATTTAGTTTTCAGCAAAATAGACAAACCGTTTCTACATTTTTTGTGTTAGCAAGTATTTTACAGTACTGTAAAAATACTCGTGAATGTATCTGTCAGTATTTCAAACTATTATATTTAATTTGCCAAAATCACACAAGTGGCAATTTCACAGCTGTCACATCCATAACGGAAATGTGTCACATCCATAACGACACTTTTTCTTCATAAATGCAAAAATGTCAAATAAAATAAAATCAATCATTTTAATTCTATAGTGAGCCGACTCATACCTGTTTGATGAGCATTGTGTCTTTTGGGTTGTGCAGTTTAACTGTCAGAATTTCTAAATAATCTGTTGTCGACTGTAAATTCGCAAACTTTTTTTGTCACATCCATAACGCATGTTTATTTTCCTAATTTAAAATATAAAACATGTTTACATATTGATATTTTTCTGCTCCCATAACTCTGTGGTGAGCTATTTTGGAAAATATAAACAAAAGTTTCGATATAATGTCAACATATACTTTCTGTTTGAAATTATGTTTTGAGTTTTTACTGCAAATGTCACATTCATAACGCTGGAATTGCTCATATATTTATTTTAAGCATGTTTGCAAAGAGTGCAAAAAATGATCAATCGACAATTGAATCTTATGATTGCCAAACACAGTAATGTCTGCAATAAATTATAAAATTTACATGCAATTTGAGACTGAAAGCTCCTTCCAGTCTATGTTTGAAACTTTGTAACTGCTCAAATGTGACTGTAAAGGCACAGATTTAAAGTATGTGTTATATAAACATGAATTTATGGGAAGTTTAGTTTTTTTGTCTATGACGTCAAATACTGAAAAGCACCAGATATTCTGAAATAATCTGTCAGCGACCAAAGAGGCAGTAGCCTTGACCTGTCTGGTATCAAACTCCTTCCTTAGTCGTATCAGAGAAGCAGGAACACAACGTCTCTCCTGCCCATCGAACACAACGGGATATGGTCTGGCACAACAAAATTGTCATCGACAGCCTCCCCCCTAAACTTCACTGACTGTATTGTGATATGAGGAGGATGGCAGAATGGAGAAACGGGATGGGAACAAGATGTTCATGTTCATGGTTGCTTTAGTTTTTTCTTTGTCTCTCACACAGTCATGGACAGTTCAATGGGTCAAGAAGACAGGCTTATCTCCCCATTTTCCCATGGTTAAGTGACAAAGGCTTGATTTACAAAAAAAAAACTCCTAAAAAGAGTTGAGCTTAGGTCTTTAAAAGAAGTGGGTCGTAATTGATGGACAAATAAAAAAAAAAATACTGAAGGTCATCTAATAGCACATCAACACAAAGTAAAATATTAGCTTTGCATTATATTTACATCAAGCAGTTAATCAAGCTGTCATAATATAACACTAATAACATGACTTAATAATATTAATATGTTTGTTTATAAATTGAATGCTTACAAAACTCCATTTAGTGTACGGCATTTAGAAAACAGCATTAAAAAGTTGTCAGAATTATTAAATTATTAAAATATATTTATATGAAGAAGAGATTAACAGCATCTTTCAAAAATCATGATAAACGATGTAAACATATTATTTACAATGTTTACCTTGTTTTCTATACTTAAGTCAGATTACTGTATGTATAAGTTAATTCACTCAAAAAATCTGTCTAAATTATCAGTTTTCTAACAACTTTTAACCCTGAAAAGTGTAAAAAGGTTAACTTTATTAACATTTTTAATAGTTTAACCAGTTAAGCTCAGCTGTTGTTTTGGGATTTCCACATGGATGTTGCCTACCCAAATTTAAAAGCTTCCCAAATCCACATGCAGTAAATGCAAAAATATTATCCAAAATACTGTGTATTTAAGTGTAAATAACTTTTGTACAGTAGAATAAAAACCAAAGTGATGCATATGTGCATAAAATATAGATTCTACACTTTCAAACGAAAACACTTTTAAGGGGGTCTGGTGCAATGCTAGCACTTTAAATCTTAAAGCGAAAGTCGATGACGTCACAGACCCGGTACCGGGTCAGCGGAGTTTAACTGGTTAAAATGAAATATTGTCTAGGCTTGTAAAACCTTGTAATAAGCTGCCAGTACATTTTCTGTTATTTTACAGATTTATTTCTTTATATATTATTTCTTATTCATTATATTATTTCAAACTTATAAAAAGTCAATAAAAGTTACTTCGTTAAACTGTGAAATAAAATTCTCCACATCAAAAGTCGACAGAGCAGAAATCAACATCCCATAATGCAATTCACAACTGTAAATAAATGGAAAACACGAAAATACGAAAACTGTTAGAATGAAGCAAATGAAGCCTACTTCAGTGTGTGCACTCATTTGCCCAGGATGAGGGGAAAATAGACAGGTAGTAAAGTTGTAAATAAATAATTTGTTGCACAGAGTGATTTTTTCGCTTCATAAGACCTCAGTGCATCCTCAGGAGCCACAGGTAGGTAGTAAATGATTTGCATGCATGCATCTCCCATAATGACTAGAGCAGCAACGGCTGGACTCCACAGTAGAGCTGCACTATAAAGGAAAAAACTGAAAATGCAATATTTTGTTTTTCTGCAATAAATATTACAATATTAATAGTTTCACAAGATAGTTTAAATAAAAGTCGAATGATCACAATGCAAAAAAATATATATTGCTTTGTCTGGTTTCTTGTCAAACAGAATAGTCAAAATAGTGTTTTATTTTTGCCTTAAGAAGAGTTTTTCTTAAAACAAACTCAATTATCCGCAAATGGGGTAGTTAAAATAATCTCATTTTCACTTTGAAATGTAGATATTTGGACTATAAACAAATTAAAAAGAAAAAAAATATTTTGTTTTGCATAAATCGTATAAATAATAATAAAAAAATCATCTTTGTTACACCTCCAAACATGCTTTTTTTCTGTGTCTCCTGGTCAACTATAATTCAGCATTGCATAACTTGCGATGTGACTATTGCCGATGCGCACATTGCGACATATGCTACATATTATAAAATTTTCCCACCTTAGCAATTTTGGTGAATAGCAGATTTCATCTGAATATCAGAATTTGTGAGTTTTTGTAAGGTGAAACAGTTTGTGGGGTCAGCTAATCTCCGGAAAACTATGTTAAGAGTAACTTATAAGATTGATATATGTAGATTTTTTTGCTTGTGTTTGTTAATCAGAGGTGTGTGCACGCATTCATGTTTTACATTTGTGGGGTAAAGTTATAGTATCTATTCTGAAGTAAGAAGTCCTGTGAAGTGAGATGACAGCCTAATCACAGTCAGATAAATCTATATTACTAGGATTCTGCTTTGTCGTTATTTGTGATTCAACCAAATGCACTGTAAAATAATAATAATCAAAAATTAAAGCAGCTTCAGATTTTTTTGTTTATCTTTTTTTCCCAACATTTTATTAATTGTTTAAATAAAGCGTTACCTACAATAACAAATAAATAAAAGTAAATTCACAATGTTCTAAAGAGAGGCATCTTTTCCCATCCTACCCTGTAGTAATCTCTGATGTGGTTTTAAAGCTGTATCTTACACTATAAGAATTGTTGCTTGTATGAATTTACATCATTAATTTTGATACTTCAACTAATCTTCTCAATTACTAAGAATCACCATTTAATACTAAACTCACATTTGTGTAACTCGAAAATTACCTTGAAACAATCCCTCATAAAAATAAAATAAATCAATGGTTTAATTATAGTAAACGTGTACTTAACATGTTAATTACATATTGATTAGCATGTGTACCACCACACTTTTAATACAAAAACCACGGGTAAACAGTGAAACGAGCAAACGCGTGGTTAATTTGAGGTTAACCTAACTGAGCTTCACTACAAACAACAAGGTTGTTGTTTTTTTAAGTAATACCATGCTTAATTTTTGCAAGGGAATACGAAAAGTTCCTGATAAATATTTCTTATGATTAAATCATTACTAAGGTGTTTTCCTCACCTAGGTTGGTTGGAGAGGCGGTGGCACTGCTGCTGGCGGGTGATGGCGGTCCTGAGCTAAGAGTAAACACGTTTTCACCCACGGCCTCGTTCTTCACCAGAGTGTCTGAACCGGAAAGGTTAATCGGGCTACAGATGCCCATCTCCTCCTCTTGGGCCTGCTGCCTCCGTAACGCCACCTAACACGACAAAATAAGTCAAATGAAGTCCCCAAATTCACCCTCTAGGTAACAAAATTAGCACGAGGCATTTAAACGTGGTTTAAATAAATTGTAATAAGTTAACTTTACATGAAAATAAATGGTGTTTTTGTAACGTCACTGTCTTGATAAAAACGGCGCCAAACTGCAGCTAGCCAAAGCAGTCAACAATGTAGCTAACCGACCAAACTTTACTATGAATATAAACAATTTATCAAGACAATTGTAGCAAACAATTAAATTATTTGTAAACTCGACGGCGGTGTTATAGTAATACTTAAATACAACTTGTGTTTGTAAACAACGCACACGAAATTAAACACGTGATGGCTGTAGATACGAGGTAATAATATTTAATAATTTAAAACGTTATACAAAATACAAAATGACCTCTCATGGCCTTGTCGAGGATGTCTAAGTTACCTGGGCAGCCATGACCCGCTGTCTCTCGGCGATGAGTCTGCATTTCTGACACTGGCAGTCTCTCCAATTACAGAAGCGTTTGTGGCCCTTCAGCGGTGACACGAAGCCGTGGTTTCTGCAGCGAGAGCACTTCGGCATCCGGGACGGTTTCCTGATGGACAGCGACCCGTTAGTCTGCTCTTCTTCACTCATCCTGACAGCTAATGGTGATGGCCAGTCTGCTCTGCTCTGAATGGGGATTATCGGCGCTTATAAATAGGGTCTGAGGTTTGATAACGTTACAATGGGCGCATGTGTTGGCACGAGGAACCTGTGCATTCCAGAGCTCGTGGGAGACGAGGAGGATGATGATGATGATGATGTCCGCTCCTTCACACTGAGACTCCCAAAGCGCCTCATGATATCACAACACATCGAGCAAACACCACAATAAAGGGTGTTTAAGGCTGCTATTGTTTTATAAAAGCTGCAGCCCATTTGTTATATTTTGGTTCATATTAGCTTGTTTTAATCCTGCCTGATTTGATTTTAAAATGTCCTGCCCGTCACCCATGTTAAAAAGTGGTAGGCCTACTTTATAAATAACAGCGACATAATTAAAACACCAAGAAGAAAAAGTAATAATACTTTTGGTGTTAAAACAATAAACCTTTTTTTAAATCTAAATAGGCCTACTTTTTTAAACACATAAAACAACATTCAAAAATAGATGTATGAAACTAATATTTAAACTTGAATAAAGTTGCCTTAATGTTGTACTTTTTAGGGGCAATACCTTATTTGGAGATCCGGAGCTTCGGGAAATTAATTACTTAATTATTTTCGGAAAGTTTTTTTTTTTAAATTGTAATTACCACAACAAGACATTTAATCATTTGATTGCACTTTAGTTTGCAAACAAACAAACAATAAATAAATTATTAATCCAAATCCGGTAAATCAGGTAGGTTAGGAAATAGGCATCATACAATGTGGGTTTAAATGTAGTTACAAAAGTTAGTGAAAAGAGACTAGTTGAACTACATTCGAATTGTAATAAAATCAGTAGATGACTTCAGTCGTTTTCTTTCTGGTCTAATGTGGCCAACTGGATAAAACAACATATGTCAATGTTTCCTTCTATTTGTTGGGACATTGTGAAATTGGTAGTACATTTGAACAACAAAATGATGACGTAACTGGAAGTTATTTACTTTTTTACTCAAATTCTTCATTCATAAATGAAAAATTTTGAAGACAGCTTCATTTGATTGTCTTTAAAAAAGACTTTTCCATCTATGCAGAGGCTTTAAAAATAATGAAGGGGTGAGAAGGCTAAACAATTGTATGATTTGTTTTAAGAATATGGTTTGATTTACCTCTTTATTTGATGTCAGCACGTTGATTATTTTTGTTGTTATTTTATACATTTTTTGTTAGTTTGCTTTGTTTTAATTTAAATTTATGGCTTTATATTTGATTGATTGTATATCTGACATTTCTTATTCAGTTTGTAAAAAATTACGTTGGAATTGAGTTTGGCCTAAACTGTAGTTTTTAAAAGGCAAATTCAGTCGTTTTGGCGGTGCAGTTACGTTCTTAACCAGCAGGGGCTAACAATAACCATGAAATTGGAAAAAAAAATGTGCATAGTCCATTTCTGAAATGCCTTTTTAGCATTGCTGGGAAAGTCCCAAATCGACAATCATTCTCTAAACTCACTACCAAGGACTATAGCAGAGCCAATCCAATTTGTGTGAGATTTAAATCTAATCTAGTTGTTTATATATATATATATATATATATATATATATATATATATATATATATATATATATATATATATATTAGAATTATAAGCCCCCCTGAATTATTCACCCCTCTGTTTAACTTTTTCCCCAATTTCTGTTATAATGAGAGAAGATTTTTTCAACATATTTCTAAACATAATAGTTTTAATTACTCATTTCTAACAACTAATTTATTTTATCTTTGTCAAGATGACAGTAAATAATATTTTACTAGATATTTTTTAAAGACACATCTATACAGCTTAAAGTGACATTTAAAGGCGTAACTAGGTTAATAAGGTGAACTATAGGTTAGGGTAATTAGGCAAGTTATTGTATAACGATGGTTTGTTCTGTAGACTATTGGGGACGAAATTAGCTTAAAGGGGCTAATAATTTTGTCTAAAATGGTTTTTAAAATAAAAATTAAAACTGCTTTTATTTTAGCCGAAAAAATATTATCAGACATACACTCTCAGAAATAAATACTAATATTTAATATTAAGCAATACTAAGTATTTTACAAAAATCTAAAACATAGCTGTTTAATATGTAGATCTATATATATTAAACAGCTATATTTTAGATTTTTGTAAAATACTTAGTATTACCAACTTGAATTTTAGAAATTAACATTTTAACGTAATTGTTATTGAAAGAAAAACAAGGTGAAATGATACATACAAAGACTTGACAATACTTTTTCTTTTTTTTAGTTAAAATTTTCCCCATGATCATCCAATATTTATCAAAAAATAAACAATTAAAATAATAATAATTATATTAATAATAATATATTAAATTAAATATTTACATATTCACAAAGTTTTGATAGTACAATAAGGAAGTATTTACCAGTAATGTTTGCCCAATGAGTTTGATTGCATCATCCTTTTAAGCATAGACCTTTTAATTTCCTTATTAGTAGTGTTACGCCTTTTTCAAAGTATGAGATCATTGGATTCCATACTGTATAAAAATGTTGAGTAGATCCTCTATTTAATTTTCTCCAATCTTAAAAACATTATCATATCACTAAACCAGAGAGAAACTAAAGGTGGTTTACTTGATTTCCAATCAAGCAATATTCTTCTCCGAGTCATAAGACAAGAGAAGGCATAAGATAATTATTGATAATTATTGGACATGACAGTACCTTGTTCAAGTACTCCAAAAATAGCCATTTCAAAGCTAGGCCTAATGTCTTTATAATGTGCTTTGTACAGAATTTTAAATATAGTTGTCCAATAATCAAACATCCTGGGGCAAGCCCAAAACATATGAGCCAAATCTGCTTTAGCAAAATGGCATCACTCACATGTGTCACTTATGTGTATGTCTTGGAAAGTCTAGCCTTACTGTAGTGAAGTCTGTGGTTTCATCTGAAATATCCACTCCCAAATCCTTTGACCATTCAGCATGTATTTTATCTAGATTAAAACAATTTTATTGACATCAAAGTGTTATGTACATTAGAAATTACTCCCTTCAAATGTAAAGGAATACTTAATACTGCATCCAATCCTGTATTAGGAGGAATATAATTATTAACATTTTTAAATGATTAAATAGAAATATGTTAACACACTCAATGCAGTTTTTTTTTCAACACATTCCATAATTTCTAAAATATCAGCCTCTACCAAATGGTTGACATGTCGGTTTATGGTAAAAGTAAAAGTACCGGAATTAATACAGAAATGAATACAAAAGTCTGAAAATATGAAGTCAGTGTAAGACTAATTTCTTAAAAAATGTTCAAAATAAAATGTTTTAAATACTAAATGGCTTTTATTTTTTCAAGTATGACATAAACTGTTTTAGATTTTCATTTAACATGTTTTGTTGTTGTTGTTTTTTTCTTTTTACAATAAAACCAAAATCAAGTGTAGTAGTGCAACAGGATTTAGTTTGTTAGATTTTTTATGTAAACCAACAATGCTTTGTGTGTAAACCATTAATAAAAACAGTCAAAATATGGTCAAGCATTTGGTAGAGCTGGCAGTGAAAGGGTAATGAGCACAATCAGTCATAATGTTTCATTTATAAATATATTGGTTATGCGGGATAATGATTGAATATTACTAACCTCATATTGTATAATTTTATTATCACAAAAGCTCTTTGAAAAGCTATTTTAAAGTAGACAGTTTACTTGCATTTAACATGCTATCTTAGTATAAACTCACTATTGTACATTTTAATTGACGTGAATAAAAATGTCTTTACCCCATGTAAAAAGTACATTAATTTTAAATGATCATTCATCATAATAATAAATATCTATTCAAATAATATAACCTAAATTGAGGAGAGACTCCCACACAGCAACTTAAATACATTAGAAATGTGTGTTACCTAAAACTGCCAGTAGAGGGAGACATTGTATGTTTTAAATTGCACTACAGAAACTAGATGTTTCAGAGGGAAAACACTGAAAAACAGAGCACAAGGTAAAGTCATTTTAGTACTTTATTATCAACTTACAGGCTACTACTGAAAGTTCTATTTGTGAGTACATGAAAAATCCACATATTAGATCTAACAGTTTATTACATAAAGACCAGTCAAAGCTACTGTCTCGACATTTCACAAACATACATTATATACAACGAAATACAATTACTTCCGATAAAAACGTTTAAATTGGTAAATATATAACTTCATGTTATGAAGCAAAATCTGAATTTTCCTAAATACTGCGATTTTTAAATAGATAAAATGGCAAGTATAAAAGTAAGGACCGTATTCGATCTAAAAAATATATGTTTCAAATATATCTGTATTTCAACCTCTGATATACTGGACATCTCTGAGGGGGGTTCGATAAAGAAAAAGCGACTTAAACCCCAAAAGGCTGAAAATACTGGGCAGCATTTACATGGTTCAAATATAAAGCTCATTATCAGGCAACATTGGCCACAACTTGGAATTATAAATTATCGATTCTTAAAAAAAAGACCATAAAATGGACTGTAGATAAGCTTTATATCACTTTAAAGAGGAAGAATACAAATATATATATTCATATATTATTAAAAACAATTTAACCTTTATAGGATAATAACAAGGCAACTCCATAGCCGCGTTCCAGTAGACGTCTATAGCTCTGACAAAATAATGCTGGTGATTTCAGGCTGAGAATACATTCAGGGTGAGTACGGATTCAAGGTTTAAAATGTTAAAAAAAACATCAACAGATTTTTAGCTAGCAAGTCCGTTTGTACAATAATCTGAAAGCCAAAGAGAAAGACATAACCGAGGAGAAGTTTTGCGAAAGTGCTCAGTATAGTTGCCTACTATTCATTAGTTGAGGTTTGAAGATAGTTTTCAGTCTTTTAGCTGTGGATTTGGTTTCTAGCTGATGAAAATGGTAGGCACGACAGAACCTGAAGGAATAGCAGCTCAGATGGGTGCTGTAGAAGCTGTCTAAATCAAACAGGACCTTTTCTTGTAGGGCTGGGTGAAGTCTTCCTTCCGAGTCGAGGAGTTCCCTGTGAAGCACGAAAGACATAAAGCTGTAATTATTATAAGCTGAGACAAACAGGACTCTAACACTCATCTAGAATCATTATACAAGGCTTCCTTCAGACTTAAAACTCTTAATACAAAGTTTGTGATAAAAATTGTGATTTTGAACTGAAATGATCTAACACAGGGGTCACCAAACTTGTTTCTGGAGGGCCGGTGTCCTGCAGATTTTAGCTCCAACCCTAATCAAACACACCTGAACAAGCTAATCAAGGTCTTACTAGGTATACTTGAAACAGTATAACAGACAGACAGGTTTGTTGAGGCAAGTTTGAGCTAAACCCTGCAGGGACACCGGCCCTCCAGGTTCAAGATTGGTGACCCCTGGTCTAACAGATCAACAGTTTACCAGAGACGGACAATTTGATGCTCTGGAATTAATATTTACCATGTTTTTTTTTTTTTGTTTTTTTTTAATTTACTTTGAAATTAGAATATGTGTTGTCATTTAGGTATTTATAATTAATCATTTATTTCAATCAAACGATACAATAAACTGCAAACAGTGAAATATGATTAAAAATACTTAAAATTTTTAATATAACCTCCTAGGGCTTGAGTGTCCACATACATGGACAGCACATTTTAGCTCTTAAGTGGCTATTTAAAACACTTTGAATGTTTTATATTTTGTTATAGACATACAGTGACATCCTGCAAATGTTTTGCAACATGAAGTGTCCCAAACCATATTTTTAACTGTCCAAAATGGGGAAATAATTTTTACTCTCTGATACTCAAGGCAAGTTAAAAAAAAAATTTCAATGTTTTATATTCATCAAAAAAATTCAGGAAAAAGTGTTTTATGTAAATTCGGACCACAAGTTCACGTATATGGACATCATTTTTCTCTAAAAGTACATCATATCAAACGATTTTTATTCTAATTAGGTTCCAATAAGCCCAAATAGTAAAGAGAAAAAAGAATTCTTGTAAAAAAAACACCCTTGGCCTTAAGAGGATAAATTAAATTGACATTGCAAAAACATGGATTATTTTAAGGTATGGCTGTAAGATCATGTCAAATCCCACTTTCATTTACATTCAAATTTAATAGTAATATATTTAGTTCAACATTTTCGATTATTTTTGAAACCATTTGTCCCTGATTCCTCTGTACAGTGCTAGTTGTGCAAAAACTTCTATCTCTGTTTTTTAACTTATTTGTAATAGCCTGAAATGTGCTGTAAATGTTTCCATAGCAAAACCAGTATACTAGAATTAAAGTCAAGCAAGTTAAATATACAGGTGCTGAACAAGAGTGACACTAGTTTTCTCCTTAAATTTGTTTAGGCTGTGTCAGAATATAAAAAAAAACTATTCTAAGTAACAGGAATGTTCGATTTCAAATATGTAATGTTCTTACAGCAAATGATCAATACAGAAGAAACACAAGAAGTTTTATTCTGGTTGCTCAAGATGCAGTTCGTTGAGGCCAGTATTTATGCAGGCATACAAACAGATGATGAGACATTGTCTTCAACCATTGGTCTAAACAGGTTGGTTGGTACAATTCTATTGATTATATACTCAACTCCTTGTCTGCACAAGATTCCTGTAACTGACAGATTAACTGGCACTGACTGAAAAGATGGAGTAAAAAGGGTGATTATATCAAGAAACACATACAATTATAAACATAATTGTAGGTTCCTTGAACTATAAATGTATAATTAGAATATTAATAGAAGGTATGGGAATTAATAAAACTTTTTTGAACAGTTTGACTGTTATTGTAAAGCTGTTTAAATAGAAAGCCACTATAATTTCTGCTTGTTATACAATGAGATTGTCCATTCTTTTTTTTTTTTTTTTTTTGCTTTCAATTGTATTCAATTTAAAAGGAACTTGATATGTATTTCCCTCAATACAAACATTTAAAATGTTTTTAAAACCTATGCAATGTCCGGTTTACAGGAGCGAGGATTAATTTCCAGAAAACATGTTGATAAAAAATATGAAAAGAAAGAAAACCTGAATTGGTATAAAAATATAGAAAAAAGCAGTGGTTGTTAATCCTGGTCCTGGGAATTTCATGGCTTTTTAAAGGGTTAGTTCGCAAAAAAATGAAAATTACGTTATTATTAACGGTCCCACTTTATATTAGGTGCCTTTAACTAATATGGACTTAGACTGAAATTAATAATTTGTTATAATGTGTTTATTGTGTAAATACATGTTTTTACATTGTACTTATGATTGATTAAATACCTGAATGTATTTACATGTGTAATTAATTTCTGCAATTACATTTTTAATTACACTGTTGACATCCCTTACACCTTAACCCTATTGATAACAGCAAACCTGTTATAAACCCTACCCATACCCCACCAGAAGTGTTCTGCAATACATTATAAACACATAAAGTCCATTGTATTTAATTTTTTATGCAAGTACATAGTAGTTAAGGCCCCCTAATATAAAACGGGACCTTAATCACTAATGTCATTCTAAACTGAGACCTTACCTTCATATTATAAGATATTTTAGATGAAATCTGAGAGCTCCTTCCTTCTCCCTAGAGAGCGCGGTTCTTGCTTAAAGTCCAGAAAAATACCCAAAAACATCCTCAAAAAACAGACCATATGCCTTTAGTGGTTTAAATAGAACTATACGTGAATCCTTGTGCACATAAAACAAAAATAATGACTTTATTTAACAGTTTTTTCTCCTTAGTATATTGTGTACGTTCACAAGTACTGTGCAGTGATACATTCACTCCTGAATGCCCATGCACAATTTTCCCTCTTTAAAAAAAAAAAGCATGGATTAGAGGTAATGCATCAGCAGAACGACCAAACGTAACGAGTAAACGTGACACTATACTGACAACCAGGAGAAAACTGTTGAATAAAGTCATTAGTTCTGTTTGATGTGCACACAAAATTATTCTGGTGGCTTGACATTAGTCCAATTAAACAACAGTAGGTATTTGGACCGTCTTGAAAACGTTTGGCCATACATTGCAAGATAGCATTTAGCCACTGGGTGGCAGTATGATTCTGCATATCTGACAGTACTGCATAGAGTGGATGAACGATGTCACCTTGTAGGCATGCTAGCATTAAACTGGTTACCTTGATAAAATCCCCATAAGATTTTCCCATTGGCTTCACAAGACTGCAAATAATAACCTGTGTTCAAACGCACCGGAAAGGAAAGGGGTAAGTGTGTGGCTAGGAAGCAAACAATTTTGACATAGTAGTCTATTGAATTCGGTTGCATCAAAGGTCATAAATATAAAAAACTTCAGAAATATTTAAACATCAATGCTCATAGCTACATTTTCTGGAGATAAGCTTTATTGGAGAACAAAATAAAGACTTTATTGGCATGTACGTGTATATAAACTTGATCACTCTACCAACAATAGCGGCGAGTGGAAAACCGCTACTGCTATGTTATAAGTATTTGTCTTTACTTTGAGGAAGTTAGGGTCCCTACTATATGGAGGACGAGAGAGCTTTCAGATCTTACTTAATATATCTTCATTTGTGTTCTGAAGTTGAATGAATGTCTCAGGGGTTTGGAATGATATGAGGCTGAGTTATTAATAGCAGAATTTTTATTTTTGGGTTAATTAACCCCTTAAGCCCACTTGGGATTTCAGAATGCAATCATCAGAACAGCATGAACATACTGTAAACACACTGACTGATTTTAACCACACATACAGTAGATAGTTCTTGCATCGTGCACACATGCTTTGAATCGATTTGCCATTAATTAGTTTGTCACGAGGTAAACCAGACCATTGTTTCACAGTTGAAAATAAACAAGATTGAACAGAACTAACTGGTTTAAATGACTGCATTATGAATCAGCTGAATGTAAAAATATGATCACTCACTGGTGACTGAGCTTTGGAGAAGTTCATATGGGCGTACAGCAAGACTGCGATGTCCTTATGTCCTGCTTCCAGAGCAATAGACAATGCGTTGCTTTCGTCCTACACAACACAAGAATAGAAGCATCTAGTATGTGAAATGAATCTGACATGTCATACATACAGACTTGGGAAGGGTTGTGGGGACTCACATTATCACTGAGAGTGGGATCACAGCCTGGCTGAGCCAGCAGCAGCTTCACTATCTCCACATGGCCGTGTTCACTGGCACACATGAGCGCGGTCGAGCCCTCGTCGTCCTGGATGTTGACATCCGCACCACAGGCTAGCAGAGCTTTCACCATGTCCATTCTGCCATGACTGACAGCCAGCATCAGCCCTGTCTGACCAGCCTGCATCAAAGAAAACAGTTTAGACACTGACCACTAAGTCAAATGTTAATAGGTTTTACACTTATATATGTAAACATACCATTGTCAATTGTTTATTTGCCAACTCTGGACTTAATTCCAAAAAATACTGTACTATTTCAATCCAGACTGGATTAAGCATTAAACTTAATTGATTTTGTGCATATTTTGCTCAAAACTGAATTGAAATAATGCAGAATTTTGTAGAGTGTTATGTAAATTTGTGCAATAATTCATATAATTGATGATATACTTCTTCAAACATAAATAAAACCTGCCCCAAGCATTTATTTAAATCAATGCTCAAACAATTTTAGTATCCCACTGACCTGGCTGGCCTTCGCATTGACATCTCCTTTACTAAACAGCTCATCGACCACCCTCATGTCCTTCGGAGCCTCTACGGCGGCGAGCGCTGCAAGCATGATAGGCGTATAGCCTGCTTTATTCTGCTGATTGACATTGCAGACATCTGTGATGAAACAGAGAGAGCAGGGGAATCAGAAACACCGCTGAGCCCACCATTGGAGTAATGCATTTGGAAGGAGGTCTTCTATTGTTTGAACTTCAGAGAAGGGACACGCAGGCTATTCAGAAGGAGAGTCATGGATTGTGGATGAAGAGAAGGAGCAAAGCGGGGCTTCACTGACTGGCAATGAGGCCAAAGATGGCCAGAGGAGAATGAGAATGGAAGCAGACAATTGAAACAATGAGGGCCGTTCGAAAAGAGTCAGATAGTAGAGGAGCACAAAGGCGATGGGATAATGGGCTTTTATTTGCAGGAGTCGAGGCACCTCATCATAGGGTATTCATAGAGCTCTTTGGTACTTTTTTGGAGAAGGAAAAGTGGAAAATCAAACAGAATGATTCTGTATGTGGACGGAGAATTAGCTATTAGCTTACATACAAATAGCACTGGTATTTAATTTACATTTAATAATGAAATAAAAAATGTAATCAAACTGAAAAAAGAGCTTGTGAATCAGAACTGAATCAAATCAGTATATTTGAATCCACAGTTCTGATTTATGACAGCAATATACTATAAAGTTTTACCATTCAGTCACGCTGCCTTCACACTTACCAAACATAAGCAGTTTTAAAAGAAAAATGCTGAAATAGAGACTACCATATACAGTACTAACCAGCTTCCAGTAGCTTCTTGACAATGTGGAAGTTGGAATGGGACACGCTGTAATGGAGGGCGGTGTTGCCGTTGCCATCGGCCATGTTTACAATGTGCTGGAGCAGGGCAGGAGAGATGCTTCTGAACGCATTCAGATAGTCCTCCACCATCTCCGCCACAGCCGTCTTCTGACTGGACACTCGGAACCACTCATGCTGCACGGTGTTCACACACGGCCTCTGGAATCAGAAACAATTATACACCAAGATCAGTAGGAATATGTACAGGGGAGTTACAGTGATAGTGCTGTTTAACCCCCAAATCACAGGAAACATTTAAGAATCATAAAAAGACAAAGCAGAGAGAAATAAATCTATCTATCTATCTATCTATCTATCTATCTATCTATCTATCTATCTATCTATCTATCTATCTATCTATCTATACACACACACACACACATATATATATATATATATATATATATATATATATATATATATATATATATATATATATATATATATATATATATATATATATATATATATATATATATGTATATGTATGCATGTATGTATGTATGTATATGTATGCATGCATGTATGTATGTATGCATGTATGTATATGTATATATGTATATGGATAGATGGAAGAGATGGATAGATTTTTTGGACCCCAAAAACCTTTGCAAAAATTTGCAAAATACTGAAGCACTAACATACTTGAGACTAATACACCAATACGATCATCTATAAAACTCTTTAATTTCACAGGACCTTTAAGTGTTTTCATTTGTGGGTCTGATAGGAATTCTTGGTTTTGCTTTAATTAATTTTCACATTTCTTCAATAGTTTTCCTCTAATTAAAGACAAAATTGACTGACTCCACTGAAATCACTGGGTTCGCAAAATCCTAGAGGAAAAAAAAAAAGTGCACGATTTTGCAAATGCAGGGGTTTTTGGGGTCAATCACAGTGTCTCAGAAATTATGCTACATTGACGAGAGTTTCCTCAGCCTTATCCCAGGTAGACTTCACCGCGCTGCAGGAGAGGAAGTGGGACACAGCTGAGGATACTTGCATCAGTATAGCACAATTTTTGTGACACTCTACAACAAATTGAGGTTGGGTTTAGGGTTGAGGTGTGGGGTTAGACGCTAATAAAATACAATCAATGCATAACTGAATAAGTAATATAAATACTGTTCTTGTTAACTTCCAATCGCAGCTGTATCTCATCTAGCAATAACCGCAAAGGAGATCTGAGCTGCTGGATTTACATCACTTTTATTCATAACTTTTTTGAATAAACTTTTTTGAATTTATTAATAACTTACTACATGAAGGCAAGCAACTGTTTATCTAGGAGAGGAATAGAGAACATATTCTAGTAACATAAAGAGAGTGCATCTTATGTGAACATAGCACATCGTCTAGTTATAGTAAAATAAAAAGAATTATAATTGCCGTCTCCATAGACATCTGTTTGTATTTTATAAACCTTAAATGGCATGTTTTGTTTGTAGTTATGTGTATTTGAATGTTTGAAACTTAAAATAAATGTTATTTTTTTCAAAGCATGGATAGATTGTGATTTATGACAAGCGCTGCGCACCTCTTTCTGTGCCTCAGCTCACGCTGTCAGATTTGAATTTTAGCACCGGTGTGTTTATACACTTCAGAGACCATCCAATGCTGATCACACCAGTGTGATTGTATGTGTGAAAGGGTTAAAGGTAAAAAATCTCATAAAATTAAAATACATTTTTATAGTATAGATGTTCATATTAGTATGTTAGTCTTAAGGATGTCTGTAAGCTGGTGTGCTCTGAAACAGTGACAAAATATATGAACCTGAAAAAAATTTATATTTTTTACGTCACCTCATATTTAATTTTCTCATCAAATCTTGACCAATCAAATGCTCACTAGTATCTGATATGCCTCACCCACTTTAAGATGGTTTTAATTTTCTTTTCATTTGATGCGCTTAAGCTAAACCACTCTCACTGGCAGAGCTGTGATAAAACAAAACACTATTGGCTACACTATTAACACTATTTTTTTTTTAAAAGCCAGGAGCTACTCTATGCCTACTCTTTATGTTTCACTTAGGCTTATGCCAAATTTTTAATTAAAAAAGCACATTTCAAAGCACTTCACAGGACCTTTAAAACAGAAACATGCGAGTACTTTTCAGCAGAATCTTCTCTTTATTAGCACATTTTCTGCCAGCAAGTTGTGGTTTCGATTTATTTAGATGTCAAGTTTTTTCCAGTGTTCACACTAACTAAAACGAACCAGACTAACAGAGCATTCACACCAGAATTTGTTTTTTTAATATAAACCAAACATTCCAAGTGTGAAAACTCCATTATTAGACTCAGCGTTCATGAACTCCAGGACAAACAGAGCTTTGACTTGCGGCAGGACTCAACAGTAGCCCTGTCAGCACACAGAGGGGTGCGTCTCAGACCCTCTGTTCAAGGGTTAGCAGAAATAAGTGTTGACCCAACATTCTTTTGCACCGCATTAACCACAAAGAAGCCAGTATCCTTCCTGCTTCAGCATGGTAAAGCACAGCATGAGGAACCATCTAAAACCCAAATCTGCTTCGAATTTGTCCATGTTTGTTTGGTAAAACTGCTGACTGAGCAAAATGAATAAAAAAATAAGAGAAGCAATGTAATTTTACTTGTCATGGATCTTATTTTTGTGCTCTTGTGTTCGTTTTCTTACCACATCTTTACTAGATAAAGCCTTGGGGTCGTTCAGGTGGGATTTCAGGATGTTGCATGCTGAAAGCATCTTCTCACTCAGCTCATACCTGGGTAGATAAATAAAATAAAAACAAAGAGTTACCAAATGCATGATACTTCAGAGCACTAACCAGGATTTGGTAAACAATAACATGTATAAATGTGTGGCTTGACCACAAATAAAGCAGATGTGGTTTTGATGTGGTTTAGCAGACCATATTTGACACAGATTTTAGTTTAGTTTAATTAAAATTTGACAGGACAGGGTATTGCAGCACAATTCCCTGAAATGTGTCAAACAAACACTCGCATTGATATTTGACTAATAAAAATTCTAATATATAACATGATGAACAAAGTAAAAACAATAATTAAAAAATATTAAAAACTATACATTTTAAGTCATTTATACTACAATTTTAGAGGATGAGGAATGAAGGAAAGTTCATGACGCATAGTTTTACTCCTGGGTAAAGCAAATGTCTTGTGTCGCCGCAGAAGGTGGGATGACACTGGGGACTTAGGCAGGTAACAATGCAGTGGCGATAAACTGCCATTGAGTATTTTCGTGAAAGTATGTTTGGTGGCATCCTCACACCTTTCATACCTATTATCTGACAGCATCTCTTTTGGACCCTCTCTAACTCCTCTGAAAGATCTTTAGGTCTTCAGAGGAGTTAGATTCAAAGCAGAGAGGACAGAAGTCCTTCCTGAGAAACACCCGCTGGGACTGAGAAGGAGATGTTCAGTAAATGTTACATTTTACTCAATCAAAAATTAGTAGTGTGCATAAATGCACTACACGGTTTCAATTTACTATGATCTTTTATGTGAAGCTGCTTGTAAAAGCGCTATACAAATAAAGATGAATTGAATAAATTAAGAACTGAAAGACTTTTATATTCTGCTCTCTCTCATTCTTTCACTCCTTAGTTCATTCGTTCTTTCTTTGACATAATTTTACAATAATTTACAAGTCTTCAAAAAAGCAGACACTGCGGTATTGTTATCTGGTTAAACAAATATGAGGCTCTTATTTAAATGCACAATCCTCACTTGCATCTTTGTTTGTCATTATTCTAACATTTTAAAGCATTTTCTTTGATTCACTCACATTGGAAACCTTAAAATGCAAAGCATAAATGCATTTTTTTCTATAAATCTAGAGATTATTAAAATGTATTAGTTATTTATCAATTAAAATTTAGCATATTCAAATATTTATCTGACAACTAGTTGAAAAGGAGAGTGTGTGATATGATAAACTGATATGAAAATGAATCGTTAATTCCAGAACTCATTCTCATACCTGAAACAACAGCACTATATAAAGCAAGCACTCCTCCAAACAATCTAATCCCCTCCTTTAAAAAATATTCAAATATTCCACTGCAGACATAACGTTCAAAATACCTTAAATTCTCGTCCTGAAGCAGGAAATGCTTGAATTTGTCTAGAGTCATAAATGATGCAACACTAAGCAATGAATTCTCTGGATTTAAGAGTTACTGGCAATACTTGCCTCTGCCTTTTATCCTGGCCTAAATCTTCAGTGTCTCTGTCTTCATCCACGGCTTCATTATTCCTGAATTCTTCTTTCCTCCTTTCTCTCACATTCACTGTCTTGTTTTTGTCATCCCCTTCATCCTCTGACCCAGAAGAGCTGCTCTCCTCTGAGCTGGAGTCATCGCTCGACGTCGTCTCATAGCTGGAGATTGAAAAACACACAGCTGAATCTATGCATATTAAAACTTATGCTCAGAAATTTATTTTGATAGCTGAACAGCAGAAAAAAATATGTAAAATGACACATTTAGTGTATTTTTATGTTTAAAAAAGAGGTTAAAATAGGCAATTAGTTCAAATCAGCTAAAAAAAATTGTTCCAAAATTGCATTATTTTATTATTTATCAAACTGCTGCGCTTTCAATGACAGCAAAAGTATTTTTATTTTAATTAAGTGAACTCACTTAAAGAGATATACAATTTGATCAGTTTTAGAATTGCTATCATACATTACTATTATTTTTTTAATGTAATTTATTGTGTATATTTGTTTGTGAGTTTTAATGCATTTATTAATGAATTATTTTTTTGCCATGAAAAAATATATAAATATTTATAAAATAGTACATAAAAAATATATGAAATGTGTTATAAAATGATTAGCTTGCTAAAAAGGAAAATAAAAACTAAATATGTCATTTAAATTTAAATTCATTTATTTAAAATACATAAAATAAATAAATAAATTAATAAATAAAATAAATAAAATTAAATAAATAAATATCATTTAAATAAATAAAAAAAATTTAAAAACAAATTAAAATAAAAACAATAAAATACATTTTAAATTAGATAAAATTCACTAAAGTAATATAGAATTAACTTAAATTAACTTAACTTAAATTTAATTTAATTTAAAAAATGCTGTGCCACAGGTAAATAATACAGATTTATTTTATTGTAGCAGTTTAAGCTAAACAACAAGTAATATAATAACATATTTTAAACTCAAAAATTCAAAGAAATAGTTTACTTAAATATGTCATGTAAAGAAAAAAAACACTGGATTTTCTTTTACTATTATATTTTTTGGGGAAAATATTTCTTTTATGACACAGGTCCTTATGCTCATGGAAATTGGGTAGGTACACACCAGATAGTTACAAGAACTCAAAGACAAGAGTTTCTCAAGTGTAAAAGCTTTTAAACAAAACCTACCCTCCATTTACTCCAACAAACTGCAAGTTCTTTTTTGTGCCATTGTGTCCCTGATGGCCATCTTTCTTCATGATGGACTTCAGGGTGCTGTGACTGCCTGATAGAGAAGAACACAAAAATAATTTATTATCATTTTACACGTTAAAGTAGAGTAAAAATATCTACATAAATCAGGTACAGTTAAGAAGTAATCTAAGTCTATACTGCGGCACAAACAACAGTTTTTTTTTTATAAAAAATCTGCAAGAAATATTTAGCCTCTACCACAAATGGTGACAAAAATCAACACACCCTATCAAAACTGAAAAAAGCATAAAGCTGACATCAAGATTTATGATGAAATACAGTGTTATTGCTGTTATGGGAAATGAACGTGCTGAATCCATGTTAGCCAGTAACAGCTAATCAAGACCATAAGCTAGAGCTGGCTACAATACTTTTAGAAATCTGATAGGCATGAAGAATGACCAGCCCTTATTGTCATTTTCAACCGATAAAAAACAATAATAAAAATCAAGCACTGCACTGAATGTAAAAAATATATAACAAAAAATAAAAAAAACAAACATTGTTATGTTGCTTTAACTTATTTTCTGAAGTTAGTTAGGTTTAAACCTTTTTTTAAGTTATACAAAGGTTAACTTAATATTTTTAGTTGTAGTTTTATCGATGTAAGTTGAAATGACTAGAAAAGTTTGTTTGATTCAACTAAAGAATATAAGGCAGCAAGATTTTTTACAGTGTGATAGTTTAAAAAAATACAAATACAAATATAAGCTATAATAAGACTTAATAGTAAGATATAATATAATAGATATAATACTATTATCAATATATACGCACACATTTTCTTCTCAGACATGATTTGTGGAAGACAAAAAAAAAAAAAAAAAAAACTATGTGAAGCAAAAGAAACAACCCACAGCCTAAAGCTATGGCAAACATGTTAAGTACAGGCTTCGCTCTGCCAAATACCGAAGAGGATCGCCGCCCCTCTCCACAGAGACTGAAAAAAGAACAGTTCTGAGAACTGCCAGAACATGCCCTACAGATGGACAAGCTCCCTCTGACTGTCTGTATCCTCAACAATGTATGCAGTGAAGGCACTTATTATCCACATTTCTCTTATTTTGACAGGTGAGAGCAGTTGGACTCTTGAAAGCATGAGCCTTGAAGCTGTTAATCTGTTACATGCTCTTCTGAGACAGTCACACAAGAGTTTATTGGTGAAAAAAAAACATCCATCAAAAGGGAGATCAGAATCAAGTAGTGCCTTTTTTATAATGGTCAATCAAATAAACAAACTGCAAAATATAGTAAAAATACTGAAGAAAAAAAGATTCATTATATTTACTAATTTTAGTTTTAAGTTGAGTGGTTGCAAACAATTTATACAGGCTGAATTTAAGTAAACTAATTAAATTTAGAAATGTTAGAAACTTAATCTGTTTGTTTAAATTCAGCCCATAAAATTTGTTTGCAACCACTTACCTTAAAAAAAATGTAATTAAATTAAAATATTAAATCCAATTAAGCATTTTATTGTGTGTATGGACATACCATGCAATGCTGTGGACATTTGCTGGTCCATGCGACTTTTCTGCGCAGCCGTACTCTGTTCATGTTTGTCGTCTGTGCACACACTCTCTATCCGCGTGACCTCTGACCTCAAACTGCTCGAGTGGGAATGGACTGCACTGACCATCTGTGTTTCTGGATAAACAGGACAAAAAAAATCATGAACAGAATAAGAACGATCCAAACTACAAAGTCTTTATTTACAACAACAAACAGTTAGCATACACATTTACGCTGTAAAGCAAAAGGACTGAATCCAGTTTGTTTGTTTGCACAAATAGCTGATACAAAGGTCGAAGTACATGAGATCTGTGACTGGAGTTTTGAATTCACAAGGAAAATTTAACAGTGTTGCCCATTGAGTTTTATGAAGAAAATAAGCACAAGAGATTGCAATTTAAACAAGCAGAGGCCTGTTGCACATAAGTACTGTCGTTGAACAAACTCCAGGTTGGTTTCGGGTTAATAAAACTTAACAAAATCAAGATCAGGTAAAGCTTTTTCTCAATGCTTAATTATAAACTTTCCCTTAACTCTGGGTTTAATCCTGAGTTTGTGCAGCTGAATGTGTGACGCATGCTGCAAACAGCCAATCACACAACACACGAGAGAGTCAATTTGAATCATTTCTTGCAAGACAGTCAGTTCGATACACTTCTCTGTTAAATATTAAGAGGTTTTCAGAAATTAATGAATCTACATATTTACATGGCAGAAACAAACACAGCTGATGCTGAAAACAATTAAGGCAAAATATTACCATATCAGTGCAAATCAAATCAATAGATTTCAATTATAAGGCACAAACAGCTCAAAGAGGCTTTATACATGAAAAAAAATGTATATGTAAATATTTAAAAGTAAATTTTAATATAAAGCCATTATTAATGTTTATTGACATTTCATAACTACTTGAATATCATATCATATCATATCATAATTTATTTATCCACAAATATGAATTAGGGGTGTAACTGATCGATTGATTTGTATGGATCACAACCCACGGTTCGGAACACGCTTAAACTGTGGATTAATACTTTTATTGAGTTTTAGATTGATCCTAAATTAGTACCAGTCAGAGAGAGATCACCTCTCACATCATTAAAATCACATGTATGAAAGCATTTAGGCTTTCCAGTAAAATATAATGCTGACAGATAAAGTTGTGCTGGGTTATTCTGGATGTTCAATTCAATTCAGCTTTGTTTATATAGTGCTTTTACAATGTAGATTTTGTCAAAGCAGCTTCACATAAAAGATTAATTGGAACAGCGTAGTTCAGTTTTTAGTGTTTAAGTTCAGTTTAGCTCAGTTCCGTGTGGTTTAACAATCACTACTGAGAGTCCAAGCACTGAAGAATAAATCCATCGATGCGCAGCTCTACCGATCCCGAACCATGCTAGCTAGTATGGATGTGCTGGGTTTCTTAGGTTATTAAAGGTGTTTTCTGTCACTACTTGCTTGGCCTGCATTGATGCATTCAGTGTAAGCTGCACAATTAATCATTAAAAGATTGGGATCTCAACACCCAAGCAACATAAATTATAAATGATGGTGATTTGCCTCCGTTTATTAATCCTTTGAATGGTTGCATTCAAATATGTGTACAAAAAAATGCAAAAATCAAATCTTTTGATATGGTTATGAAGTTACAAACAGTCAAATAACACTAAAGTACTGGTGCAACAGTTTATAATTTAGATAAATTCAGTTATGTTTATAGTAAAGATTAAAATTACTGTCATAACTTGATGTTTAAAGTTGAAAGCTGTAGGCAGCCATTACATTATTCAACCAATAGATGGCGTAGATTTATGAGTGAATAACTGAATCATTCATTGTAAATGAGACTTAAAATAAATATGCGTTGTACAAATTATAATGTTAGATTTTCACATTTAGCATTATCAGCAACAGTAGTAGTAAATATTACTTTTTCACATAATATTTTACAAATTATTTTTATTTTTACAAAAATAAAATATTTTTACAATTTATTTAATTTATTTTACTGATTATTTCTTCATTTTATTTTTAATAAAAGTTACAGGTTTTAAGTTCTGTTTGTTTAAACCAAAAGTTTCTTGCAGTACTATTTATTGTAATAAATGGAAAACAAATTACATTTGTCTCTTCCCCTTTTTAGCTGATCCGAAAAATGGTCCAATCCGTAACAAAAAAACATTATATTATTCGAACTGTGAGATTTGTGATCTGTTACACCACTAATGTAAAAAAAATTATTTGCTACAAAAGACACCATTTTGGTAAAAAAAAAAATGCTTTAAGGCTTTAATCATGAGCAAAAAGACACTAGGGGATTGGAAGTGGTTTTATTGCAACAGATATAGAAGTCATTCACTTCTCAGCTGATGTTTGGGTTTGGGTTTGCACTCTCTAACCCAGCATAAAAGCTGATCTAGCAGGTTAGCCATGGCAACGAAAACAGATCAAAATAAAGATCCCACCTTCTCTAGCACAAAAACTTATTCTTTTATTATTATTTTCTCAAATTAAATGCAAATTTACAAGGTTAAAAACCTAAAGTGGCTTTGTGCAACAGGCTTTTGTGTAACAAATTGATACGTTCTGAGCTTGAAAGAATTTTCAGAGTATTACCAAGAAACTATGAAAAATGAAAACAAATTTCAGCTCTAAAGAACAAACGACTTGGCAAAAGATCATTTAAATCTAAACATCTTCATAATTACACAACAGCAGCAGAGATTTGCATAGACATGTCTTTAGCTGCTTATATTTAGACTTGTGGGAAACCAGTGATTGCAAATCAACCAATTGGCTATAGTTTTATGTGCAGCCTTAAACAAGGTATGATGCTGTACATAATTACTCATTCTCAAATTATACATTCATGACATTATAATGTAGCTCCTGCCAAAACAGAGTTCTTCAAAATGGACAGTTCAAGATCACATCAAATTGTATCAAAACTCTCTCTCAGTTTCAGATACACAGTTTCAGATGTTGGGGCTAGACGATATGACAAAATCTCATGTCAATATAAGTCATTTCATATCCTGATAACAATGTATATCACACAATATAGTACCTCTTCTGTAAATTCAATCACTTAATAAATATCTAAAAATATGGATCTATATATAGACCAATTGCAAAGGACTATTTTTTTTTACATTTTATAGTATACAGTGTTAAGCATAAATGAGTACACCCTTTTTTGAAAATTTTTCTTCATTTTTTCAGTGAATATAGGCAATGCATTTTGTTGCATTTAAACAACAGATTTATTAAACAAACATTTTTATTAAAATAGTAATCAGTATTCAAACATATTTAAAAAATAAAAGACAATACTATTAAATTCAAGCAAAATATTGCAAAAGCAAAGTACAGTCTTCTCTTGACTTTTCCTCTTGTTTAAAATGTGTATTTAATATTTGTCTATAACATATAAATATGGGTGTACTAGTTTTTAGACTTTTATTGTACGTTATTTTGTTAGATAAGCTCCAAATTTGGCTTCAGAGGACTAATCTAATGTATATGTACAAATATAATATTGTATAGCTTCCTATTAAAAATATGAATTTAAAAGATGCATTTATGAGGGGTGTACTTATATATACCAAGCACTGTATACAAAAAAGTACTCAATCTTATCTCATCATTTTCCTCAATTTATTTAGGACTTCAAGGCAAATGTTTAAAAAAAAAAAAAAAAAAAAAAAGGATTACAGATCCAGTATAAAAACAATATTAGATATAAAAAAAACAGTTGTCAACATTGCACTTTCAAGATGCAACTTTCCCGCGATGTGGTTATTCATGTTTCTGTCTGCATCCCTGTAACAGTGTGTAATATATTGCGCTGATTATATAATTTATGAAAACATATTACCTATGTATTTTGTGAAACCACAGATTAAACGATAGAGCACAGTTTGATAAGATCATTTTTATTTAGTCTATTAAATATATACAGTTGAAGTCAGAATTATTAGCCCCACTTTGATTGTTTTTTAAAAATATTTACCATATGATGTTGGGAAAACAGAGCAGGGAAATTTTCACAGTATACCTGATAATATTTATTCTTCTGGAGAAAGATTTATTTTTCAAATTTCGGCTAGAACAAAAGCTGTTTTTATTTTAAGGAAAAATGATAAGCCCCTTTAAACTATTTTTGTTTTCAATAGTCAACAGAACAAACCATCAATATACAATAACTTGCCTAATTACAGTAACCTGCCTAGTTAACCTAATTAACCTAGTTAAGCCTTTAAACGTACTTTAAGCTGTATAGAAGTGTCTTGGAAAATATCTAGTAAAATATTATTTACTGTCATCATGACAACGATAAAATAAATCAGTTATTAGTAGGCCCACACGGAATTTGCGCGCACAGACTTTCGCAGATTTTCCGCAGAATTCAGCAGATTTTTAGCCTATCATTAATTCTGTTTATTTACTTGAGCAAATGTGTAAATCTGAATTTATTCCGGTTTTTATTCAGTAATTTATTACTTTTTATTTTATATATTAAGGTCTTAGTTATGATACTTCGCTGGATACTTCCAAAATAATTCCGCAGAAATCCGCAGATTTTTACCAAAATTCTCGGCAGAATTAGCAAAATACGTCCACAGATTCCGTCTGGCCCTGGTTTTTAGAAATGACTTATTATTAAAACTATTATGTTTAGAAAGGTGTTGAAAAAATCTACTCTCCGTTAAACAGAAATTGGGGAAAAAAATAAACGGGGGGCTAATAATTCTTATTTCAACTGTATATTGTCATATTAAACAGTCCTAAAAAAATCCTTGACTCTGGATATCAATATTATATCAGATGATATTTTACTGGCATGAGTCAAATGCATTCAAGTAATAAAAATGCATGTCTGCAAAAGACTGTCTGACACAAAGAATACCTGAGCACACCATCCTCTTTATCTAGAGCCAAATCAGTCCATGGCAGACATGGAAACACTAAAATCTTGGCAGCAAATCTGACTGACCATTGACTGGCCATAATCCTCTGATGTGCCTGCAAAATTTCTCTCACTCCTGCTTTGCGCTCCACTACAGAGCAGAAGCAATTGTTATTTATAACTTCAGAGCATTCCATGACTCGTGCTGCTTTTTTTCCTGAAGAAAATATGATAGGAATATAAGACCACTAGACTCATGACTTAAGATTCTTACAATATTTATTCCTGGAAAAAAACAACATCAGGTACTTGTGCACATTCTTAAAGATACATTGGACATGCTGCACGAGGCTGGCCTTGCACAGAGCAAGTCTTTGCACAAAGCTTCTATCCATTACATAACACAGAAGAACTATGAATCAGCATCAGCAAAGACAACAACAACTAGCCATTTAGCACAAGCTGCTGCCTTCCAAAAGAGATGAGATCATTGTTGGATTATATCCAAAGCCCCAATGCATTTTTCAGGGTCAGAGAAAACGTTGCCCTGTCAGATCGTGTCAGGCATCATTAGAGACACAAACTCACTGTGTACCCTCTTGTCTCGACCCTGTACCTAACCTACTCAGCGGGAACAGTGGCTTGAGTGTAAATATAGCTACTCTGAATAAAGCTGTGCTTATGCTTTACATTCAGTGATATTGTTGCTCTTTACACTTATATGTTCATTGATTTGAGGTCGTAAGATGGGGAGTAACAAAAGAACAATGAAATCATATATCATCTTTAAATCAAAGCTGTTCATTTATATTTGCTATATATACAAGATAATAATTCTTCCCCGTGTCATAGATGATTTTTTAACGGCAATCTGTGTTCTAGGTTTATTACAGTTTATTACAAACAAAGCCCAAATGATTTATGGGACTCCTGGGTCTTCCTGAATGCAAAATACAAAGATGATCCGAGTAAATAATAATACACAATAACATACAACAAAATAAAAAATAAATAAATAAATAATAATAATAATAATAATAATAATAATAATAATAATAATTATTATTATTATTATTATTATTATTATTATTATATTATTATTATTATTATTATTATTATTATTATTATCATTATTATTATTATTATTACTATTACTTTTATTTTTATTTTGGTATGATTATTATGATAATGATTATGATTATTATTATTATTATTATTATTATTATTATATTGGTATCATTATCATCATCATCATTATTATTATAATTATTAATAAGAATAATATATTAATTTTAATATAATATTAACCCACTAATTTGTGGGGAAAATGCTTTTTTTTTTTTTTCAACAGTGAAAATGTTGTTGATGAATCCTACAAGCATTCAAGTATTGATAAAAATAATGATAAAAATAATTATATAATGAATTGATATTTAAAAGTAGAAGCTTGGTTGTTTATTTTGATATATAACCTAAAAATATATTTTATAATTTAAAATAGGCTGTCAAACCAACTGCTGGTAGTGGCTGGAAACTTTTTAAAAAGAAAATACAGGCAGTAAAACAGTTAATGAAATGGTTCCTATGTGCAGGTTTTATTATTAATGTTTTTAAGCACTGTGTATACTGTAAGATCAAGTAAAACACAACTAACCTTTCACGGTGTGATTTGAGTTCTCCTGCGGCCTTAGAAGATCCAAGTTACAAAGTTCTTCAAGACTTCCATACTTCCACACTGAATTGATGGATGATAGAGTAGTGACTAGTTCACTGTTGATGGAACTGAACTGGGATTGTTGAGGTGGGCCGAATGCATCTGCCAGCTCACTGTAGTTCTGAGCCAGCAACATCTGCTGTTCCTGCAAGAGCTTTTGCACTCTCTCTATGTAGTGATCAAGTCCAACTCCTGCACCAGCCTGTGACTGGTTGGGCCCTTCTGTTAAGACAGATTCCTCAAAATTACTCTTAACGTGGGTGGGGGTAGGAGACTGAGAGGGGCCACAGGCAATGTTCCTTGTCTTCTGACCGACTAAGAAGTTTTCGTGTATGCTTGTGTGGCCAATTCCAGTCTCTTTGGTTTTGCAAGATGGCAACTTGTCAAGAAAAGCATCGTCTGATGAAGTAGTACCTACTGAAACTGAACGGGTTTTTAATGTGGCTGGCGCATCTTTTACAAGACCATCACCAACAGCGATTGTACGTGTCTCTAACGGTTCGGTGCCGACTTGTTTGTCTTTTGAGCATGATTGTGTATTGGTGGAGGTATCAGTAAGAACTAACTTGTCTGTATTGGTTAACTTGTCTATTGTCTCAATTTCTATGTTTGTGTACTGTGACGCACATATGGGTAAGACCATGACTCCAAAGTCAGTTCTGTGAACTTCATCTGTTCCTGTACTCCGAGTTGCCATCTCCTTGATGGGTCTAACCATTACATCCACTGAACAATCTCCACATCCTATAGACCTGAACTCCTTGGCTTGTTCAGCCTCTCTTTTGCAAAGTCCTAAACCTTCAGCTGTTAACTCCGTGTTGATTCCCATTTCACATACGCTTAATTCCACTCCCACACTCTGGCTGCACATCACAACATGCCTGCCGACACACTGATCTTGAACCTCAGTACGTTCTTGTACAATCCATCGATCCATTGGCAACTCTGGACCCACTAAAACATGCCTTGCATCCGGTCTGCAAGTAATGCCCACTGAATTCATTTGATGGACATGGTTTGTGCTTGCATCACTAAGCTCAACATGGTTGCCCACACCTTGGGTATGTGTGGACACTCTTGCCTCCACTGACGTGCTGTACATTTCTGGCCTTGCCATCAAGCCTTTGTCTGCCTTTTTCCTAGATCCAGCAACTTGCAGTTGAAGCTTTAGCTTTCCCATTTCCATTTGGTGGGTCGTCTCCTTAAGTTGAACCTCCAATCTGTAAATCTTCTCTTTGAGGGCTTCGATGGTCTGGTGCTGCATCTCAATTTCAGTTTCTGCCTCACTGCTCAGGCCTAGCATGGCTTCAGTCACACCAACTCCTGTGCTCCTCACCTCCTGTTCAGTTCCAACAGCCACATCTTTGTTTTTGCCAGGTGACCTCCTGTAAACCACCACATCGTTCATGTTCTCATCAGCTCCGACACCAATGGACCTGCTTTCACGGCTCCACAGCTGGACATTTTGGTTTGATCTTAGCTCTGTTTGGTGTAAGCTGTGCTTAATTTCCTCACCATTATCCTGTATGTTCCGCTCTAGGGCTTCCACTTCAGCCGTTAATTGCCTGAACTCCTGTAGCCTTTGAGTGCTCTGCTCAGTGTTATCAATCTCCTCAATGTGAAGCTCAGAACCTGTCTTGATCTGGGACAGGGGCTCATATTGATCAGCACTGCCAACGCTAAAGGAGCGCTTCCTGAAACATCCACCTGATCCTTGCCCCACTACCTTAGAGTTATTCTTCTGGGATACTAGTTGTCTTTTCTCTTCTTGCAAGACTGAGATCTTGACTTGAAGGATTGGGATTGTCTTTACCTGCTCCTCCAACTCTTTTAGTCTCTTTAGCGCTACTACCATCTGTTCTCGAATGTGCTGGAGGTGCAAGGGGCTAACATTGGTCACTGGTGTGGTCATGCCTGAGCTCAGGGGACTGTGGCGGATTGAACTGCCCATAGAGGATGTGAAGTAGGGGTTGTATTCCCCATTGCCTAGATGACCATTATGTTGGAAAGAATGGGAGCTGGGAGAAATCTGGCTTGGTCCATAGGACCCACTGTAAGAGGACAGGGAACTGGAAGACCCCATTCCTCCAAAACTGGCTAATCGCCTACGAGGTGGCTCACTGACTGGTGGCTGCATCAGGAGCCGCTCCTGCTCCAGTCTCCTTCGAGTTTCCATCAGTGTTTTCTCCACCTGCGGGTTATGACGAAGAAGATGAGGCGAAGGTGGAGGAAGCAGCTGCTTGGTCTCAGGGACGTTCACAAAGGGTTGGGGAACTTCATGGACTTGGGCAGTATGACCAGGAGGGGCTACCTGGTTCTGAGACGTGAAATAGACTGGTGACTGTTTGCATTCATCACTGTTGGAAGAGGACAAGGAGTCTGTTGATGTCCACTCAGTGTGGCCACTGCAACTGCTCCGAGGCGGCGGAACAGTCCTGACCACTTTTGGCTTCCTCTGGATGTTCAGCTTCTTGATGGTGTTGCCCCTCTCAATGTCATCTACATATTTAAGGAAGTCCAGGTCTAGCTGATACCCATATGGGGTTTCCAAGCAGTAGGGGTCCTTCTCATCTTCATCTTTTTCTGCAACAAATAGAAAACATTGTTTAGCTATTTAGCTAGTCAATGTCCAACTTATTCAAAACTTCTCAGAAAAGGAAATGCATGATCAATCTTATGTAAAAAGTCTTTTTAGAAAAAAAGGTTTTACTACAACAACAACAACAACAACAACAACAACAACAACAACAATCCAAAAAATATTAGAGCCAACTAGTGTAAAAACTGAAATCAGTCTTTATTTTGGCAGTTTTTTAGTCTAAGTACATGAACTAAGTACTTTTATATATTCAATCAAAGATGTCATTTCCTTGGTTGCAAGCACAAGGTGTAATAATATGCGATCACTACAGTCATACCTATTAATCAAACATTTGAACCAGTAAATCCAACACCACTTTATACTACAATACACAGGTTGTTCAGTGAAATGATAAACTGAAAAAGTCTACCTTTCCATATATCGATTTCCAGCACCAAATATAAATATGTGCTCTACACAATTTCATGGCAAAACAAACTCCATGTGTTTGATGAGCATTTGTAAGGGGAGGGTAAGTGGGGGTGGGGTTAAGAGAAAACAAGGAGAGCAAATATTTCTTCCTACCCAAAGATCTATTTGGTCCAATGCAACTGGCAATATTTAAACATTTCACTCACTCACTCCCTACCTATTAAACAAGAAACGCCTTGACAGAGAGACTGAAACATTAACGCGTTCTTTTCAGCAAGAAGCCAAGGAATATCCATCAACAGAGCTTATATCACAGTCCAAATTCCACACCGGACAGAGAATTCCTGCCGTCAGTTAGACAGATTAACTCACTGGAAGCCAAGACACTTCCAGATGATTTAGAGAGCAGACACAGTGCATTAAGAACAAACAACAAACCATTAAACACATTTTCCTAATGTGTTTAAAGGAAACATAAAAACACATGACAGTTTACTTAGGCATGTAACAGTGAGACACTGCCCCTCGAGCCCCTTATATAGATTTAACTGAAAGACGTTTTAAGAAAGTTATTGTAACCTAATCTCTCATTGTTTAAGCGTCACTTACCCCAAGTCAAACAGCAGTCCTCATGCAGCGGTGCCTGTACCCTTACAAGCCGTAATAGAGTTTTATAACAAGAACAAGCTGCAGGCTGCCTCCCCTCACTCACAGAGCACTTTCTCAACCTTCACTCTATAAGGGGAAAAAATTCCACTATTGGTGTAAACTTAGCCCAGCTCAGCGTCGCCTGTGATAGGCTGACTGCCTCTACCAATCATACAGCACTTACACTGTTTCTTCTGTCTTGCCTCTCTCAAAGTGCTCTTTAAACACTTTGTAACCCCTTCAAACAGTGGTCCATTTTTAAGCTCTCTTTCCAGGCATGTCTGTGTCATATTAAGCAGCCTAAACTCACCAGACACAAAATACAAGGCTAAATTAAGACTTGCTATTAATCTCCACTGTATCTCGTAAACTCCACTGTAAAAGATAAAGAAAATAAAGAAAAAAGTCAATAAAGAAAAATAAACTGTATTTTACTTTATTTACAGTACCTGGCAGAATTTCCCATGTACACAAACAAATGCACAACAAATACACACAAAACATACAAATTTATAAAATTAACTTTTATATTGAAATATACTGTTAACAAAAATAAAGGGTGGTCCACTATGATATCATACTTTAAACTTTAGTGGATGTGTAATCTAACACATTACATGTTATGTGAACATAAACAACATCTCTGAATATAATACGCTCAATGGTCAATGCAAACGGAGACATTGGCTTTTACAGAGTTAGCTTAGCAAAGCCTACAGCGAACAAAGTTTGGGGACTACAATAAAATACATTTGGGTTAGTGAGATCATAAACGCTTCAGGTAACACGCATTCACCATGCCCATACACCCCGTGCAGCAAAGGGGCTTGGCCAGAGGCACTGTAATGTTATAGCAGAGAAAGCTAAAATGGCGTCCAAACGCTGCTATTTCCACAGAGCTTCTTCTGTATCTGTATTTGGGTTTCCAAAGGACACAACACAGAGAGAAGTGCTTACAATTTAATTTGAACTATGTTCCAGAGAATTATAAAAAAATATATAACTAGCAATTGACAAAGGACAGCTTCCAGAATCTTTCTCAGTTTAGTGCTGGATTTGGCTAAAACTCCTCAAAGAAGGTGCAGCTCCAACCATAATTGATGAAGCTGTGGATTGTGAGCCACAACCTGTAAGTGTTTTTATTTGTTAAAATTGATCTTTTACATGCATAGTGTCCAGCATTATCAATATGTTGTAGCGAGGACATAAACAAGGATGAAAAACAATGGGAAATGCTGTTTGGCACCTACTTCTACTTCTCAAATAATAAACTCACAAAAGATATGTGACTGTTTCATTTTAGTTACACATGCTTATTCTGAATATATGTGAAAGACAATTGTCAGATTTTATTTTAGAGAGCAGACATTAGGTTCAGCTGTGTCCTCTGTGTCATCGTCTGTCTTATTTAGGTTCAAACTGATAGGCTAACAGCTATTTTGAATGACAGTATTTAAACAGCAGAGGCATAGTGCGTGAGTGATGCTTTTCCTGGTGATGTGGAGCCAATTTGCAAATCACAGCACATTATGCTATGCCGACCAATCAGAGCCTCTTGAGGGCGGGCCTTTCAGGAAGAACTAGCAAACATGACAGTCATTTTCATTTTAGCCGAGTAGCTGTATATAACCAAGGTAAGATATGTGAACAAATAAAGTGATTTTCTACAAATAAAGCATGAGCACACATTGCTTTGCATCTTATAAATACAGCCAAGCCTTAAAAATACACTCTGGGCTACCCATTTTAATCCAGACCAGTTGTTAATTGAGGCTCCTTTTAAACAGGTTAACATCTACTGGCATTTTCTGCAAGGTTATTATCCATTTTGCTACTGATTTGACTATTTTGAATAACAAATTCAACACAATTGGAAAAGGTTACAAGACAAAAATATAGATTTCTTAATACTTAAACTTATTTTAAGACGCAAAAATAATTTTTACAAAGCAACAATAATTCTAACCCTATTTTACTGTATTTTCACTGCAACAATCGCTTGCTTGTTACTTGGAGCAGCTAGCTTTGCTGACTATAGCATGAGCACAACAGCAATGTCATGGAGCGCGAGACAGGCTTGTCTGGTACGAGGAACAGACACTTGGGCAGCTGACTTGAGTGCTGACCTCACCGGGAGGGGGTTGTAAACCTGCGACACTAAAGAGGCAAGCAAGAAACGAGGGAAACGGATGAAAGCAGTGTGAGAATCGGCTCCAAGAATAATCCACCCACAGTCTCTTTTAGCAGGCTAGAATTGCACTGCCCATCATCAGACACAAAAACAGCCCTGAGAATGTTCAGATCAAAATAGTTTATGCTACGGGCAACGTACTGAAGCAAACTTACACTGTGTTGAAGAGGAGTTTATAAACAGTATAAAAGTTTTGGCATCAAGAGATTTTTTAAAAGATAAAATTGAGACAGTACACTGCAAAAAAAAAGAGCTTTTCTACGTAGTCTTGTTTCTACTCCAAATATCTAAAAACCCTTAAACCAGGAAGCATTTTCAAGACAAGTACCTCCCCATAATCTCCTCATTGGCAGACTATTTTGATTGTCTTACAGGAAAAACTCACTTAACTTTGTTTTGTTATTTCTGAAAACAAAACAATGTTTACTTGTCTAGAAAATTCTTTTAGACAGGTTTCTTTTATTTAGGATGTTTAATATAAAGTATCTGGACAAGAAACAAGACAAAACCCAGATGTTTTAGTTGTTGTTAACATATGCTTTCTCTGTGTATTTATGTTTAAACATTTTATTCCAAATGTCTCATCCATAATGCTGGGATTGCTCCAAATACATATTTCCAAAGGAATGAATGAGGACCAGTACCTCCCCATAATCTCTCCATTGTCAGATTATTTGGATTGTCTTAAAATGAAAAACACTTAATCAATCTAATTTCACTAAATTTTGACTTGTTGTTTCTGAAAGCAAAACAATGTTTACTTGTCTAGAAAATCCTTCCTGATTTAGGATTTTTAATTTACAGTATTTTGACTAAAAACAAGACAACTTAACTAATAAAAGCCTTTTTACAGTGACAGGACAAATCACATCTGACCAATATAAAATACACATATATTTACACTTAATTCTTTTTAACTGCAACTTATAGTTCTTGCCATGAAGATAAATACAAGTGAGGGCACTTTTTGATGGCTAAAACAAAATGTGAGGATATGGTTGCAACCATTAAGAGAACAGAAAAAGGAAGAATCAAGTTTCTGACAGGTGGACAAACAAACATGACACAGAGTTATTTGGGAAGTCTGTTGTCATAAAGCTATTCATAGACAAAACGTGCAGAAACAGCCTCTTGTAAATAGTTGGATAGTGAGAAACAGGAAGCTCTGTTTAAAGGCAAATTACAGCATGTCAATATAATGAAAAATGTCAAACACATCCACATAACAGTGATATAAGTGATTTTAAATGTCTGTCAGGCCAAGCCATTTAAAATTTAAAATCTAAAATGGTTTGATTTGCTAGAGAGAAATGGTTTGGGGATTGCCAAAGAGCAATTTCATGAATATGTCAACTTTTCTATGAAAAAAGTTTTCACTAAAATAGCAAAACCCTTTCTAAGTGTTTGTGTAGACTTGTCTTTTACAGTACTGTAAAAATACTCAATGTTTCGGTCAGTGTTTTCAAACAACTATATTTGATTTGCCAAAGTCACATAAGTGCCAATTTCACATCTGTCACATCCATAACAAAGATTTTACTCATAAATGCATAAAATCGATCATTTTTGTTCCATAATGAGCCAACTTTTAGCATTATTTATTTTGGGCTGTGTAGTTTAATTCACAAAATGTCTTTAACCCTTTGACAGTCTCACCAAGAAAAAAGAAATTGTATTGCATTTCTTCTAATGTTGCTAGTTAACGCACTCAATATGTGATTGTTTTAAGAT